TAAAGACCAGAGTGTATGTTCTTCTTCGAATCTGATAAGCACCATTAAGATGTCCTGCAGCTTTTGTCTCGCTCCTCTTCCTCATTGTCTTTCTTCTTTTTATTGGAATTTCGAACTGCAGATTTTGCGGGACTGAGGTTAATCCAGGGAGTAGGCATATAAATCGGGGGCCAAATTAAAAGTGACATCCTATTATTCAGATATAGATATGAAACGAGTAGGGCAGACAAGTCGAATGAAGGGCAGACCCCTGAAAAAATACCAAATCGATGACTGTCAGTGACAATGGTTATCATGCAGCCCAAAGAAGAGCAGGATGAGAGGTCCTCGACCGTCCTTGCAAATGAAGGACCGCTTTGGTTGAGTTGAGCCAGCCAAATACTTGGAATCCAAATTATGTCTTTGCTTTAAACGGTATTTGGCACGTCAACTTCACACCCTACAAGTTTTGATTTGCGAACAGTGAGATGGGTATTTTAAATTCCTTAAAGTATGTGCATAAATAATAAACTTGCTACAGTATCATCCAAACTTACAGCGTAAGTAGTAAAGCAATGATTATTAAAGAGGTCAGGGATTATGATTTTAAGGTTTAAGCATGCCTTTGAGTCTAAGCCTTGAGTACAAATAAAAAGTCAGTCGTGATATCAACTAAATCCGAACCCATATAATCCCATGTTGTATTTAAGAGCAGTAAATAACGAAAGAAAGGAAATGGTAAATGTACTTAATAATTAGTATAAAATGATTTTTGGAATATGGTATGATTTTCAAGGCTATGAAAATCCATCAACTACACTTTGGATCCCGTTTTATGGCGTTTAAATGAGGTTTGAATTCTGAGAGCTGTCGTTCAACATTATAAAACGACAGGAAAGCGATTACATGTCGGCCTCGATGACCTTGGCATATGTTTCCAGAGCCGACCCCCTCGTCCATCAATGCCAGTCGACAGGCTCCTTTGACCTTCTGCCCGCTGACACTGTCTGATTCAGGATTCGGTGTTCAGGGTTCAGGACTCAGAACCGCTAAGCTAGTCGATAGCATCTGTTTTTGCATCCCTCGGATGCGACGAGATGCCTGCCGGGCTTAGGACTTTAATTTTCTCGATCCGTCTGCGTTTATCTGGGAAATCCACTTGCAAGTCGTTGAATTTATTGAACTTTATTGAACTGTAAAAACACGGGCATAAATAAAACGGAACACATAAGGGGAAAGAATGGTATGTTGGTAGAGTACGAGAAAAAGCAACTTCGATTGCAGGATATTACGGAGTGCGGCGAAATCTACATCCCCAGTGGATGAATGATGTAGGGCCATTTCCCTGGGTCGTGTGGTTGTGTGGTTGAGTGGGTGGTGGTTGAGTGGGTGGTGGGTGGAGGATTGCGGCCATTCGCGCTTTTACGACCCACCTGAATGAATGGATTTTTAGGGCTTTTCGAATATGTATTTTAATGGAGCTGCTCGCCCGTTGTTGTTGTTCTAAACAAGAGCATTGGGAATTTTATTGGGTTTACTTTTTGCACTCCTGTTTGCGTTGGGCTGAAGCACTCGGAGCTGCTGTTGGCACTTTCTGGCTTGTTGCCATTGATGGATTAGTGCTGTAAGCCAAACAGGTGGTAGGCGGCCACAATCCATGTTTTTTGGCCCTGTGCTCGGACCCCCTTTCATTCATTTTCCTAAGCCTTTTGGCCATTCAATGCATCATGGAAGTGACAGGCAGAGATGCTGTATCACTGTTTTATGGCCATACGGACAGATGTGCATACAACAAAAAAAGTATATCAACAGTTGCGGTTGAAATTTATATTTTTTCTGCCTTTACCGACGGCGCACTTTTTTGCAATCAAAATAATAACAACCAGTTCACTGGGCTCAGAGAAAATTTAAATTTTTAATTTAAAGTACAAATTGCCACATCGTATTGTAACCAACGCAGATCAAATAGGTTAAATCACTTTCTGTTTCAATTTATTCGTAAAGTTGTATCTTCATCTATAATCCGAAATTATTTTATTTATTTTGTAACAAAAATTATGATATGTTCTGTCACCCAACACTCTTATGGAAACAAACATTTAAAAAAATATTATTTTTTAAAGAATAAACTGTTCACAAAATGTACAATTTCTCAACGTAGAAATTTCAAGCAATATATTTTTGGCATCCCGTCATAAGAACAAAAATAAATCAAAATAAAATTTAAAGCAATTAATCGTGCATTGCTGGCCTGCCATGGAAATAAATCACTATTTAATTGTATTTTCAATAAAGCAAAATATTACTTTAAATGTGTCCAAAGCGAAATATATACATTATGTATCTTAACCGGAAATGTAAATTCCCTCTTTAAAGCTTAAAGATTCACAGAAAAAGTTCGCATTATTTCCCCCCTTTAATGCTGCTAAACAAATAAGCTTTAGAGTTATAGAGATATTCTCATTAAATCAAAATATCTCCATCGCCTCATCCAAATCCAGCATCAAAGCTCATCATCATCCTCTTTTCCATTTTGATTCCGCTTAATCCCATTAGCACTTTCCAAACAATCCAATGCGAAAAGCATTTCAATTGGCAGCCGCAGAATTAGAATTTTGTTCGAAGTTTGACAGCAGCTGCTGGCAGTCAGTTAACCAGTTTGCACTTTGGCCAAAATGTGCTGCGGCCGAACTAAAACAAATGTTGGCCAACATCCACAATGTGGGCACGGGTACACAGGTTTTGCGAGAAACGAAAGCTGAAATATGATTTTGGGACATGGCGAAAAATTGATTTTTCCTTTTTGCGAATGCATTAACTGGGCATTTTATTTTATTGCCTTAAATTTGGGCGATTTAAGTGGCGTACCGAGTGGAGTGCTCAGATTTATGGCCCGTTAACCAGATGAAGGTGCCTTGGCCAGCATCTGAGAACGGGAACCTTTTGCCATAAATCCTCCAAAGGAGTCGGACCACGTGTGGCCCATTGTCTAATGCGTATATGACCAGTAATTAACGAGGCAAATACGTATTAATTGCGTATACGCAACGTGAGCCAGCAGAAGCAGAAAATGCTAATTAAGACGTGGCCAGCGTGCACTTGATAAATCAATTAATTTATGCAACCTCAGCGGGCAGCCAGTGCATTAGCCCGAGGAGGACCCCCGAACACATCCATTTAATTACAAACAATGGATGGCAGGAGCACATCCTCGCATCCTGCTGTTTACTCACAAAAGAGCACGCAGCTTGATCCGCGACAGGCGGTCGGCTTATTAACTATAGAAATTGATTTTGCCCGGGGACCAGAGAGCAGCCCTTTCAGCGGACCCCGGGGGCTATGCTAATTCCCCGGGGCCCTGACAACCCGTTGGCTGACTAATCGCACTTAATTCGCTGCAGACGGAGCACCCGGCACCTGAGTACCATGCTCTATTCTCCAGGCTCCGGCGAAAAACAAAAGTTCGTTGCCCTTCGACTGCGCAGCTTCTGCTTTTGCAGACCCGATAATATAGACCCTTATGTAAATGGCTATGTAAACTCTCGAAAAGGGCAATTTATTACTTTAACTATTTAATTACAGTTGGACTTCGTCGTGGGTGTCGTTTAATGGGCTGGATCCGTTGACGCCTCATAAATCCAAGGCGCCTAAGTAGCAAGTTTGGGAAATGTTCTAATCATGGAAAGTTAAATACGATTGCCTATGCCGAGTTATGAACGAAACCAAAAAGTTTTCAAAATACATTTATAAAAATTAGTACATTTTTATAAAATTTGTATTATTAAACTTCTTACGAAATACAATTATAGAAATATATATCTTACAGATATCAAATCACTTATGTATGATTTGTATTTGCTATTTATTTATGAAAACTATCCAACTATCCAAATATTTTAATCCTTTGACGGACCTTTTTTTAAATTAGAAGGGAACCCAGTCGATGAGAATAACTATCAGATAAGTAGAAACTTATCGATTAACACTAATTAATCTGAAGCAGTAAGGAAACAATAGCTAGTTGTATATAATATACAAATTAACATTTTTGAATCTTACAGATACCATAAATGTTGAAATATTTTTGATATGGTTTTTACTTGTTATAATTATGGGAAATTAATGTTATGTCATTGCAAATACTTTTATTTCTTGGCACTCCTTATCTCATGATAAAACAGAATGAAACTAATCGCACAACACTAAATAGTCAGAGGCAGTAAAGAAGCTATAACTATTTCTATTGTTAGCCGGAACGGTTGGCTAGAACGGTCATGAGCAATAACAAAGCTATGCCCGCAATTCTTAAATGGAATTGTCACCTCGTCGGGCGCCAAAGAGGCTCGAAATAATGGTGTGGCATGGGATTTAAGGGGAGGGGGGATTTCGGCCTCAACGAGAAACGGAGTGGAAGTGGAACTAGGACCGCAGGCTCCAAAAGCTCACCGCACTCGGAGGCTCCTCCGGATTCTGCCTGGGAACCGAAAATCCGAAAAAGCGAACATCCGAATCTGAATCCGAAATCGAAACGGAAACAAAACCATTCAGCTCTGTGGCAAGGGCAACATGGGGCAACCAAACAAAAAAAAACACGCTTTCTCGTGGGTGTTGTTTATCTTATCGGCCGCCAGTTTTGGCCAGAAGCAGATGGCCAAAGGCCAAAAAATGTTTACACTCGGCTCGGTCGATATTAATTGGCCGAAAAGTGCCGGTATTTGGTTTGTGGGAAAGTGCACTCATCTTTCGCACGATTAATGGCCGGCGCAACATATTTGGCCATGTTGCCAGGCGGCCGGCAACATGGAAGCCTCCTGCGCCGCGTTTGAGCCACAAGTGTTTCGGCCCACCTCCGGGTTTTGGCCATTTGGTCGAGGAAAACAAAGCAGCAACAGCGCCGAGAGCTTGTGCTCCTTTCCTCGCTTTCCTCGCTCTTTGGCTCTCTGTGCCATTTCCACACCGTTTCTGGGCCGAAAGCTCTCGGCTTTTCCGACCTGCTCCGCCGCTCAGTTCCTCGTCGAAGTTGAAAGCGTTTGGTTGCCGCAGCGGAAAAACGCGAGCCAACCAGCCAGAGAACCCAAAAAAAAAAAAATAAATAAGGAAAAGCTGGGGAAAACTTTGAAAACGGGCGCGCGAACAAGTGAGCAGCGGCAGCGGCAGCAGAATCAGAATCAGCAGCCGAAGTGAAGTGTAAATAAGTGAGATACCCGCACACACAGATACACACGCACACAGGCGGCGGAGTTTGGGCCTTGGTATTAGAGCGGCACGGGGTAGTTGTTTATATTTATATTTTTATCCGCCGATTCCAGCCGCCCCTTCCCCATTTTCCTTTCCCCTTTTCCCTGGAGCAGGTGCGACATTATCTAAACGGCTTCGTACTTACCTGCATAAACATTTAGCTTCGCATAGGACCCTTTAAGATACTCTTTTCGTTATTGTTAGCTTATGATAACAGGATAAATCTTTGTTAACAGAAATAATCAGTTCTTATTTATTATTTGATGATCGAAAGGTTGTATTCTCTCGAAGTTTATGGGCCTCTTAGCCTTCCAATACCATGTTTTACCTGTGTCAACAGAAATAATCCATTGCTATGAATTATTTGTTGACCGAAAAGATGTATTTCTTCGAGGATTATAGGCCTCGTAATCTTACAATACAATTTTTATTATTAACAGAACAAAATAAAAGTAACAAGATCAATCAAAGGTTATTCCAGTTCTTAGAGAAAAGTTTATGGATTCTTAGCAACTTACTTACAACTTATTAATTGAGTATTAAAAGGGGTTTTTTGCTTGATTTTGGACTTATTGACTGGATTGATTTCAAACGTAGAACCTTGATTTATTAAAACAAATCCAGTCAGTTAGTCAAAAACCTAGCATTTAAAGTGTAGTGTTTTATAAGGATAGAAAAATTTAAAAGTTTGCGAATCTATTGTGAACTCTTCTTAAAGGTGCTTTCGTAAATATTTTCTTGAGAAGTCCGCTTAACGCACGGTAGATTAACCACCTTTCTCCAAAAGAAGGTGCGCTCTTCCTTCTATTAAGAATATTTTCTAAATGGCAATGCGATTTCCGACGGGTTTCTCGGTTCAGTTCCCCTTTGCATTTATCAATGTCTCCGCTGGGCTCCCTTTAGCTGACTGAGATTGATATGGGAACAATGCAGCCCCACAAAAGGGGCTAAAAAACCAATTAAACCAACCACTCGGAAAGTTGGGCCGGCCAGCAAAAGAACCCTTAAAATTGCAGTGAGCAAATTTTAATTGGAAAAACTTGCCTAATTGAAGTTTAATAAACAAAGCGTCTGGGGCTGGGGGTTCGGGGGTCCAATGCAAATCCTGTCCGGGACAGCAGCAACTTCGTTCTAATTTTCAATTAAAAGAAGACCGAAAGAGAAAAAAGAAATTGTGCCAAGTGCAATGACCACAGCTGGATCCCGGGCCCCAGGACCTGTTCATTGTTCATTGTTGGCTTCCGCCTGGGCGGTTTCCGGGGGCGTTTCCACGGTGCCACGTCTTTCTGCTTTCTGTATCTGAGAGCAATTAAAAATATGCATAAAATGTAAATGAGAGATGGCCCAACTAAAGTCGAAGCCAAAGCCAAAGCCAAACACCGAGAGTCCTTTCCTAACCCACAACGATTTGTCTATTGAATTTAAAGCAAGCCAAGCGCAAACCGAAGTGCAAATGAAAAGTGAAAACAAATTGTGAATCAATCAGTTGAAACAAACAATGAAGGATAGCTGGACTCTGCTGGGAATTCCAAAGGAGGTAAGAACCGCAATCCCGCTAATTTGGGCCGCAATTCGGGATCAATAAACGCATTCAGGCCGAAATACTCGAGAGCCCTGTTTATTTGGCCGACGGTAATTAGTTTCTCCCCTTTTTGGCAACGGTCTGCCACCCAGCCTTTCACTTTCCTCCATTGAAACAGCTTGGCAGCCCATGCGGCGTATGCGTAATATTAAGATAATTGAATGGGCCATGACAAACAACGAGAAAAAGAAAGCGAGAACGAAAATGGAAATGAAAATGTTTCATTTTCCTTTTCATTTTTTTTTTTGCCCCTCTGTCTCCGTCTTTCTGCCATCATAAAGCATTTTCCGACCTGCCTCGGCATATCCTTTCACTGCTTCCCATGTCGAAAATGGCCAATAAAAATGTTTACGACGCACGCACACACTCAGGTGAATTCTTGGGAAATGTGCCGAAAGAAGCGTTGAATACTTATTAAAAAATTACCCAAACTGAGGCGTACATAAGCATTTATTTGTGTGGCCATGTACGATTCTTTACGATTCGCCAAGTTCATTATTTCACATTTTCATAAAGAGTTTAATGTCTGATAATTCCCCAGAACCGTCGTGGGTTTCCCGAGCTCCATGTGAGCTCTATTAAATGATATGTCCTACAGGAGAGGGTCTTTGGCACCATGCTGAGCGGTCGCCCCCTTCTAATTAGAGGTCTGGGCCAGAAGTTGATGAGGGTAAATTGGCAAGTAATTAATCGCCTGTTCATTTAGGAGCAAAACAGAATACCAGAACACCAATGCAATTATACAAATAGAGTTTGCAGTCAACTGTTTAAAACCATTAAAGCTAGACCACATTTAAATACAAATAAATATATGACTTTTAATTGAAGATTACTGTTTATAAATCAAAATGAAATAAAATTATTTTCCATCACCACCGCAAATGAATTAAATTTAATTTGTGTTTATCAGAAATGGGGTTAATCAAGTTAAAATTTGAATGAATTCCAATAAAATGATGAAAGCAATATGCTTTGTATAAAGATAAAAGTCTGTTTCTAACAAAAAATCTAAACTAAATTGAGCTGCCTTTATATCTTACATAAATATATTGATTTGGAACGTTTTATTTGGAGTAATAAAAATTTTACTCACACATTCATGAAAAGAAAACCCTTTGATCGAAACATACATTGTTTAGAGCATAAAAGTACTTTGCCTTTCGCCATAAATAAAGAAAAGTACCCAGAAATCAATTTCCCTTCCATATTGTTTACTTATGGGCCGGTGAAGCAATCAATATAAACAGATAAAAGCCAAGTCAAAATGGCACATAATGTCACAATCAGCAGGAGGAAGATACATTTTTGGTTGGACTAAACTGATTTTCTTCTTAGTTTGATAATCGATTTAACGAGGAGCTTAGAAAACAGTTAGCAAAATTCATTTTCAGGGAAAAACTTTCCCAGCTCAAGAAAGTGAATTAGCACTATCTCGAAATTGTTTCATTTTACTCATGGCGTATGCGTAATTTGGTTTTCGCTGATGCTGTCTCTGAGCTCTATATAAACATAAAAACTTGTTTATATTTGCTGCAGAAAATCGTGTGTACACACATCCCAAATTCTGCTGGCTCACATTATTCGAAAGACATAAAACTTGAGAGTGGGAAAAACAATGAATTGCAAAAGAACAGCAACAAACAAATGCAGAACGCGTTTGCATGCTTCTTCCCGATTTTAATGGCTCTCAATTTTTATATTTATTGAAACTATAAAATGTTTATGGGCTTCCTTCGTCGCCGTTGCACTTGATCCATATCCACGGTGGGGATAATCCTATCTGGGTCAAACGAATCCGTAAGTCAATTTTACAGCCAATCCGAGGGTCCGTAAATATATTAATTCTGCTCCAGACTTGGCACCTTTTTATTGCATCCGTTTCGTTCTTTGTTCTGCGAATGGGCCGCGAAAGATATTCTGAGTGCTATAGAACACTGTAGTGTAAACATTCGTGAAAATCCGAACTGCGAATATCTAGTTCAAGTCTATTTTGCTACTTGCCAAAAAAGAAAACGATTTAGACAGAAAGACAAAGAGTTATAAACTGACAAGAACGAATTTGAAAGGAACTGCGAGAATTATGAGTAATAATTTAAAAACAAAATGTAGTTCAGCTTATGCTAGACTATTTTAGAGGGGAGATATATTATCTCATCCAAACTTTGTGTACCAAATTAAAACGAATTATTTATGCTTTCAGTTCTATCATAAATTTAATAATCATCGTTAAGCGGATTAATGATATACTTAAAGCCTTGCAGAATCAGTTGAATTATGCCAAACAGCGTTACTTTATCGTAAAGTTGAAACGTGTAATGTTATTCCCAGCTAAATTAATCAGCGACCCTGTTATTTTTGTGCCCGGTTCAATTAAGTAAAGTGCGGTTTGTTTGTGTAGCCGCTTCCCTTCGGCAGGTGAAAAAGGTTCTGCGCCAGCCCGGCGTATGAGTAATGCGCGTGCAAAACATTTATCTGGCAAACACACTTTAGATGCAAAGTGAGCGCTTAAAACTTTAACCGAAAGTCCTGGGCGCGCCGGCCGCCAAAAGAAGGACAGAGTGCGAGTGCGTCGTGACGGCAGGGTGAAGAGCTATAAATCAGCACTCAAACCACTTAATAAGGACGGCCAGTGCTACACCTCCCCCTGGAAATTGCACACACTCGATCCTGGCTTTTACACAATGTTTTTTTTCGCGTTCCTCGCATTTTTCCGGGGGTTTCCCCGCGCTTTTCGCCGCCTCGAGGAAAGCGTGAAATGAATTATGGCAACGAAAACAAAGAGAAATATGCGGAGAGCAGCGAAAAGCAGCTGGCAATGGGAAAAAGAACGAATAAGTTGATTGAAATAGAATTATTAACCAGTGTCGACGGCAAGCGATGTAAAGAATTTGAGAATATTTGGAATTCTTTTTAATTGTATATGGCTTGCAGTTGCACTTAATTTTTAATTGAAAGAACTGCAAAGGCCATTGCGAATTTACACACAACATGGAGAAGACGCCCTTGAATACTCATTAAAAACAAGGAATTTACATTTTTAAGAAAAAAGAAAGTAGGATTGGGAAACAATAATATGTACAGTCGATAGTTTTGGCTATTGATAGTGGCCATTATCGGTATTATCGATACTATCGGAAATAGTAGAAAATTAACGACAAATTACAAAGTCAGAAGAAAACATAAAAAACGAAGAATTTATGCCTATAAAAAATCTATCTAAATTATAACGCATTTTAAACCAAACAAATTTCAATGTTGAACATTTACATTTAAAATTAAGGCTTGTTCAAAAAAAATATACATAAAAACTCTTTTTCATTTCAAAATACCAAAAACCGCATGTTAAATTAAATAATTTTCTTGAGCGATACTATTGATATTGAGTCCAAGCCATAGACGTTTCTCAAATTTCAAAACCGCCGAAAGTATCGATAGCGTTTCGATTACCAACCCTAAACCAAGGAAATGGATCCTTGTACAACTAGGAAAGAATTTGTATATAATTTTTAGCTTATAAACAAAATTTATAGGAATTAACATAACTAAGTATTGAAATAATATGTAAAACAGATTATATCTTTAAAAAAAATTTTTCAAATATAAGTTCTGATCAATTTTTTTTTAAAAACACAATCTAAATGATTCTTTTCTCTGCATATAATGGAGGATCCTTAGTTTTATGTTGAAGTATTCATGGGCGTGGCAACGGAATGTTTTCGTCACGCGCTCTAATTGCCACGCCTGTCTGGCCAGCAGATGTGGGCGGAATGCGGGGCGTGGCAGGGCCGCCTCTTCGCTGTTTTGATTTGGCGCTAGCCAAATATATTCCCCTTTTTCGCAACCGCATCTGTTTAGCATAAAGCAATCGCGAATTAGCCATAATTTGTTCCCAACTTATTCTGTGTGCTGCGCTTATCGCCGTCAAAATAAAAGCTCATTAATGCGGCATTCGGAAGATTTTAAATATTTGCCCAGCGTTTTGTTATTACCATTTTCCAGACGACGTCGACGCTGCGTCCCGCCCCTCAGAAACGCCCCCTCCACAGTACCCCTTATTTAAATGCCCCTTGTATTATGCATGCCTGTGTGTTTGCATGTGTGTCTGTTTGCTTTTGCGGGTGTCTGTGGGTGCCTCGATTTTAATTAAATATGAAATGCGCTCGCCTTCGCCGGTCTCCGCTGGGCACAGCTGGAAATGGATACACAAAAATCAAACAAACAAACTAGCTAATGTTTTACGAAGAACTGCGAATGCCCTACAAAACTATACAACAAATTAGAAATTTTAAAAATCTTTAGTTCTTTAGAAAATTCTAAAAGTCCAATAGAAAAAAAAACATTTGAAATTAATTTATGATACAGACGACTTAGGTCACTACCAAAAAAAATTTAAAAATTTTAACATTAGTAAAATTAGTAAAATGTAGACAACATCTTTCACTAAATATATATATTTTTAAATTCATCTTTAAATAATACAAAGCATGACTTAAAATATGATTTAAATACCAGGCGAAATGCCATAACTTAAACAGACAGGGACCTAAAAAATTAAGTTATTTATTTTACATATATTCATATTCTTTTGCATATTATTCATAGTTATTCAAAAATAATTCTTTAAATAAGGTTAATAAGTTTCTGCACCATACAGCAAGATTGAAAACACTAGTATAAAGCAATCGACAACATCAATCAATTTTTAAAAGAAAAAATGAATTTAAATAAATATTATATTTTTCTGAAGACGTATTGCTTAATTTCCAATCGTTATTATTGATTGTTTTCAAAGTCCTATCCAAACAGATACCTTTCAATTAAGCGATTCAGTTAAAAGGCTTAAAAGTGTCACGCCCCCTGGTATTTCACTTCCGTTTCCGTCTTGTTTCCTTTGCCCCAATTTCCGCTGCATCCGTCAACTTAGAACGAAGTGAAAAGTGGAAGCCGGCAAAGGT